CTCTCTCTCTCTCTCTCTCTCTCTCTCTCTCTCTCTCGTAGTCTGCTGATGCAGTGAAGTCAGATAGCGAGAGGGTGAGAAGGAGATGGTGGACTGAGAAGAGGAAGAAGAAAAACTCTCTTTGGCCTTCGCCCAATCTCCCTCTCTCTAGTATTACTCTAGCTATGGCACCCAATGCGGAGGACTACAACTAACGCTACTAGCGCCCAGCGCTGAAGACTACTCCTAACGCTACTACTCCTCCTGCACTCCTCAAGAGTGCTGCTGCTGAATCCTGAAGACTACTGCCTGCCTCCTGTCTGCCCGTGAAGTGCATGGGAAGTCCCTATGTACTACCTCGGCCTGCCTCCTGGCTGCCTCCCAACTGCTTGCAGTTGCAGGGCGGGCAGTCCAGGAGGCTGCTCTTGCCAATGCCAAGCTGAGCCAGGGGCTGGCCCTGCAGCTGTTGTGGGAACAAACCAAAAATAGCCTGTTCCTAAAACCCTGGTTTGGTGCCTGAGTTTCGGGGCAGGTCGGTCTGATGAGGGCCCAAAAATGGCCCTCAGTTCAAGGTAAAAAGGCTCATGCCGTTTTTAGTCTGAAACGACACAGGGCTTTAGGCCCCCGTTTCCGGCTTTTTAAGCTGAATAGACACGGGGCCTGTAGGCCCTACATTTCAGGCTTTCGGCGTGAATTTCAGGCTTTTAGCCTTGAAGGACTCAGGGCCCGGAAAATGGCCCTCGCGTGCAGGTGCAGCATGTAACACTCTCTGTCCGGTACTAACCTATGAAGGTCGGTCTGATGAGGGCCCGAAAATGGCCCTCAGTTTCAGGCTAAAAAGGCTCGTGCCGTTTTTAGTCTGAAACGACACAAGGCCTGTAGGCCCCCGTTTCCAGCTTTTTAAGTTGAATAGACATGGGGCCTGTAGGCCCTACATTTCAGGCTTTCTGCCTGAATTTCAGGCTTTTAGCCTGAAGGACTTAGGGCCTGGAAAATGGCCCTCGTGTGCAGGTGCAGCATGTAACACTCTCTGTTCGGTACTAACCTGTGAAGTTGGCGCCTTGATGCAGGTACCTCGAAGATGAAGCTGGAGCTATGGCGCCACAAGTAAGTCTCCCTGACCTCCGCCAGCCATCTCTCTCCAACGCTACTCTACTCCTACCAGCGCCCAACGCTGAAGACTACCACTACAACTACTAGCGCCCAACGTTGAAGACTACTGCCAGAGCTAAGGCTACTCCTGGAGCGCTCCTTCTGAGTGCCGCTGCCGAATCCTGAAGACTACTCCTGCCTTCTGCCTCCCGTGAAGTGCATGGGAACTGCTTATGTACTACCTCGGCCTGCCTCATGACTGCCTCCGACTACCTGCAGTTGCAAGGCGGGGCAGTCCAAGAGGCTGCTCTTGCCAATGCCAAAGCGAGCCAAGGCCTGGCGCTGCAGCTCCTGCTGAGGCTGTCGTGGGATCTGGCCAAAAATAGCCTGTTCTTGTTTGTCAGGGCAGGTCGATCTTATGAGGGCCCGAAAGTGGCCCTCTGTATTAGGCTGAAAAGACTCAAGGCGTGGAAGGCCCTGTTTTAGGCTGAAACGACATAGGGCCTGCTGGCCCTCGTTTTCAGGCTTTCAGGCTGAAACGACACAGGGCTTGTAAGCCCTTGTTTTCAGGCTTTTAGGCTGCGAATGCTGGTCGGGCCCTTCAAGCCCGTGTGGCTGCGCAGTATGGCACCCCCCCCCTCTCCTTGAAAGACCGAGCTTACCTGCGAGGGCGAAGCTGTCTGTCGGAGAGAGGGACCACAGTTCGGGCGGGAGGGGCAGGTCCTGACGTTCCCTTAGCTAACCTTTGTCGCTCGTAGTGAGCGTAGATCAGCGGTGCGGATGTTTTCAAATCTGCTCCTGAAATCCATCGGGTGTCGTCGGGATCGCATGCTTTGAATGTAACCTTGTACTGTCGAGGCTTGCTGCCGTACTTGCGATCCGTGATGACGCGGTCAACTTCCTGATGACCATCCATAGATGGAGGATCTTGCGATCTTCGGCCCGGGAAGTCGTCACTCTTGGCTGGTGTATATATCGCCAGCTTTGAGGCGTGAAAGACTGGATGGACCGTCAGATGCGAGGTGATGTTGATCACAAACGAGGGGCCATCGGGCTCCTCGCCCACGACTGATGTTACGGGCCATGGTCCAAACCACTTGGGAAGCAGTGTGCGATAAAAATCTTGCTCGAGTGCAAACTCTTCTGCGGAGACCCACACCAGATCACCAGCACGGATGGGACATGACACGCGATGTTTGTTGGCTTGTTGCTGCATGCGGACTTGAGCCTTTTGCATGTTCGCGCGGGCTTGAGCCAGCAATTCCCTGTACTTCCGGACGGAAGCGGGGGAGCACGCAGCGTCTATGTCGGCTGTTCGTTCCTGCATGAGAGAAGTCCAAAATGCCAACATGAAGCGAGTGTCGCGATCGCTGAAATCCAGCCGGTGTGTAAGAGGCGTGCAAGTTCGGGAGCCGTGGCGTAGTACCTGCAAGGAAGAAATCGCGCATACTTACTCAAACGGTCAACGACCTTGAGGATGCCGTCGTGCCAGAGGCGGTCGCGGGGAAACAGACTGGTGACGTTCATGGCAATGGAGAGGCCGTGTTCCCGTGGGATAGGCATCGGGCGCAACTCGCCGTAGGGATTGCGGTCGCGGGGCTTGCTGCGTCGGCAAACTTCGCAAGAGTCGCAATACCGAGTGACATCGGTAATGAGGTCGGGCCATCGGAATCATTGTCGAAGTCGTGCAATAGTGCGATTGACTCCGAAATGGCCAGCGAGTCGCGAGTCATGGTACTCACCGAGAAGGTGAGTCCGAAGACGACGGTCGCGAGGGACACACAACAAGTCCTTGCCTCGCGAGTGGAGGAGCGAGTACCCGTCGACGATGCGATAGTGGCTGGCCGGCGGGTGATCCGAAGATAGCTGTGCATACAACGTGGCGAAATCCGGGTCAGACTCATAGCCCGGATGAAGTGTCGCTGGAGGTCCTCGTCGAATGCGAAGGCATGATGTGTCATAGCTCAAAGATCGGGTCTTCGCGATTGGAGAGGCCGACGAGATGTTTCGGTGTGAAGTCATATTGGTCGATGAAGTACATCCATCGTCTGATCGTGCTGCTCACCGTATCCCGTGTCTTGTAGTAGGTCAATGGGTTGTTGTCCGTGACCCATGTGAACCTACGACGCCCAAGGAGGAGGTGCCGCCATCGCTTGAGAGCCATCACAAACACGAGCAGCTCCAGCCGGAAGCGACAGTTGTCACTCTCGTTGGCAGGGTGGGGTCATAGATGCTAAGGACGGGTGCCATGAGCATGGCCGTCTTGAGTGCTTGGAATGACCGGCGTGCATCGTCAGCGAATACGAATGACACCGATTGTAATCTCGTCATAGGTGCGACAATCCTTGTACCCGGTGATGCAGCGTGGATAGTAGCCCGCCAACCCTATGAATGAGCGAATGTCCGTGGTGTTGGTGGGATCAGGCCATACGAGGATGGCCTCGATCTTGTCCACAAGCGGACAGATGCCTTGCGGCGTCACATAATGTCCCAAGTACTCCAGCTCTTGCCGCGCGAATTCGCATTTGTCGAGGTTGGCTTTGTACTTGGCTTGTCGTAGCCGCTCCAAAATGGTGCGCAGGTGCTCCACATGCTCGTCCAAACCACGACTGTACACCAAGATGTCGTCGAGGTAGATGAGTACGAATCTATCCAGCATGTGTCGAAACTCCATTGTCATAGCCGCTTGGAATGTGGTCAGGGTATTCGTAAGGCCAAAAGGCATAACCAGCCATTCGAAATGCCCATATCGCGTCTTAAACGCGGTCTTGTAGCGGTCCTCCTGTCGGATCGCGAGTTGGTGATATCCTAATTTGAGTTCAAGCTTGGAGAAAAACTTGGCGCCGCCCAGCTGGTAGAGGAGGTCGTCGATGCGCGGAAGATGGCCAGCGTTCTTGACGGTTTGCTCGTTGAGCTTGCGATAATCGATGCACAACGGCAAATCCTTGTTCTTTTGTCGGACGAAGAGAACGAGAGCACTGTATGGCGAAGAGCTAGGCCGAATCCAACCTTTTTCGAGAAGGTCGTCGAGTTGTGCCCGTAGCACACTTACCTCTTCCTCGCTCATGCGGTAGATGCAACCACGCGGAGGTACGGCCCCGGCTTCGAGGATGATCTCGTGGCGGATGTGTCGATCCGGTACTACTCCGTGCGGGGCTTTGAACACGTCGCCGTAGGTGTCGAAAAGTTCGGTGACACGTGGGTCCGGTCATGAGTCCTTTGATGGAATGTCATGGGGCGGGAGGGCGTGGAGAAAACACACCCCCATCTCCTCGATGTCATCCCTGATGATGGGAGCTCGAATGCTTGCGGCGGAGGCCACGTGGCAACTTTTCGAAGGGTGAGCAGGAGGCACCGTGCATGGGACTAGTACTTCGTTCCGATCACGAACGTGAACGGTGCGGCGGTAGAAGTTCACCGGGTGATCCTTGCTTCGCAGCCATGACATGCCCAAGATCATGTCGAACTTGGTGTCCAAAATATCGAAGGACACAGCCTCGCTTGCATGCGAGGCAAAGTACATCGGGACGGCATCAATGCACCGGTCGATTGACTTGTGCGTGTGAGCGTCGGCCAACGTGACTTGCGTGGGCTGCGTCTTCCTTCGAACGCGTGGCCCAAGGCCAGCGCGTACCATAAAGTCTTGGCTCATGTAGTTGCGAGTAGCTCTGCAATCGATCAAAGCGCTGCAGGTCGCCTCTCCGATCTGAATGTGTATGTACAACAGTGGCGCGTCGATGTCGTCGAACCGTTGTGTCTTGAACTCGCGCTTGATCTTCGCAACATAGTCGTGAAGGTCGACAACCTCTACTCCGACGTCCATCAACGGAGTTGGTACTGTAGTGTGCAAGTAATCCCACAATTGTGCCATGAGCACGTTGCAATACGGTTTTGGCTATCGACCGGACGGGGGAAGGGGCATCCATTGGAAGTCCGCAAACGTCAATGGGTCGAGCTCGTCAAGTCTTGACCATGACGTCGAATCCCCGACGATAGTTGGCGACGACGCTGCCGAATCGGTTGCCAATGGTGGTGAAACCGTGCATGCGGTGGATTGTTGCACGTGGAGTGGTTGGTCCAACGGTGGGACCAAGTGAACAGCATAATCCTCGTAAGTGAACCGAGGACTTGCGACATTCGCATCCTCCCCTGGGTGGAATTTTCGCTCCCTTGGGAAGAAGAATGGTGTTAGTATTGTTCTTCATTGTGGTCCTCGGTCCCTTACTTTTAAAGGTAGTCTTTTTGAAGGCATTCAGAGATTCATCGTCGTTCACACACTCAGACTCGTGGGCTGACAAAGAGCAAGATGCCCCGCAGTCTTGCTCTTGATCGTCATCAAGAGAAGATTCCTCCACGAGGGTCTCCTCGTCAGCCTCAAGCAGATCGTGTGTTGCAAAACGGTTGCTGCCTGGAAACCGTTTGCGGCCGGTGGTGTTTTTGCCACTTGATCCACCCGGGAGGTCTTGTGCCTCCAGCTTGACTAAGTCCCGCACGAGGGTTAGCCAATCTGTATATGCGTTGAGTCCGAGCCCTATGCGATCTTTTATAGTAGAGGGGACCGCACCTTTTATCACATCCAGACAGGACTGCGCAGTCATCTCCAGATCCGGAGTAGCAAAGAGCTTACTAACATACTGCTGCAGGTTGTACATGGTGCCGGTCCACTTGCTGTGCTTGAGATTGTCAAGCTTGAGTCTAGCCTTGGCTGCAGCATGTGGATCAGCATACTGTTTGATCAAGAGCTCTTCGAGTGTGGCTACGGGCGTAGCCTTCAACCATTTGTTCAGGTCTATCCTTTTATAGCCTGCTTGTACAACTTGGATTTCCAAGAATCCTCTCACAGCGGGTTCCACATTGGTCCCTAGGACCGACGATTGAGTAACTGGGAGTGTCCCCAGCACATCGAAGTAGGATCGCTTGGAGCTGATCCAAGATTCGATGTCGTCCTTTCCGTCATACTTAGACGGAATTTGGGCTGCCTTTCTATCCATATAGGAAAAGTTGCAGCTTGGACCAGCGGCTGCTGGGTTCGAACTCGGGAGTGCAACTGTTCCAGAATGCCCTGCACTGCTACTTGTCGCTGCAGCAACAGCAGCAGCAGCAACGGGGTTTGGACCTGCTGCAGATCCAGATAGGATGTTGGTCACACTCAAAGAAGAAGAGGAAGTAGAAGAAGACATATTCAGAGGGGCAAGAACGGACTGACACGCAGCACTAGAAGCAGGGTAAGCAGGCGGAAGGATACTTTGGGCTGGCTGCACATTAGCGAACTATTGCAGCTGGTCACGGTGCTGCTGCGCCATCAGGGCCATGTCGTCTCGCAACTTTTTGAGTTTGTCGAATACTTTGGCGAGTTGGCCAATATGGTCCTCAACAGCCCGGACGTCTACC